AAAAATATTTAATTTTAGGTGGTCAAAGTCATATAGCTGAGGTTGGGGGAGGGGGACAAAACAAATTCGGCACATCTGGGACTTCAGCTGCTGGTCGTATCATCCCTGGTCAGCCAACTGGACATGCAAAGCCCATGTCAAGAGAGGGAGGAGAAGAGAGAGAGAAAACCGCTTGTAAACTACTGAAAATCACAACAACGCGTAACTTTGCAAGGATATCCGTCTGGGCAAATCATGGTTTGAATATCGAAGATTTCGGCAGTGGCATAGTCAGGGCCCCCCCAGGGCGGGCTGAGGAACACAACATCTGCTTGCAGGTCGGCAGCCAGCACCATGAAGTCTCCGCACACGAATTCTATCTGATCCGCCACGCCGTACACCTCAGCATTGTTGCGCGCAAGACTGAGCTTCTCAGGATCAATATCAATAGCGATCACTGCAAACAAAAGAGCAAGCAAACGCACAGGTTAACGTGAACTGTGAATGCCACCTGACCACCAAAAGGATGTTTCATAAGGAAGGTGTTCTTCTGCAGCCACCAGACACAAGTCCATCTATAATCTACATTTGCGCGGTGAGTGACTACTTCAGTTTTGTAGGTTATGGTAGACATGAAGCTACAGTTCCTCAGAGGGGAAGGACCTGCCCTTGCATGGCAGGAGCAGAGGTTCCACCAAGAGCAGAACAGCTGCATAATCAAACCAGCAAGGGAAGCCACGCAGCCAAGACTGGGAAGGCTCAGCTGCTGTTGCAAAGCTGGGAAACTTTAGCTTTTGGCAGCTACTACATATACTGCCATGACAATCCTCCATCTCAGCTCAAGTAGTGGACAGGTAAGGCTGCCCGCCTAAGAGAGGAAGTCCTCCTCGCTTCAATCTTGGCAGGAGCCTGACAGCTTAAATGGTGTCAATTAGAAGCTTACTCTTCTCCTTTGTTAAAGATAAACATTTATCTGTGGCTGATCACATTGTAATGAAAATTGAGTTCAAAAAAACCACCCAACACAGCACAAGGGAGATGATACAAGGGCAGTACATAATCATAGAAATAAAAATTTAGCCAGGAAATACAAAAAGCTAAGTGAAATTCAGAAAATATTTATAGAATGGGCCACAGCCTACCAAATTTAATGCAGTAGAAACTACCATTTATCGTGCTCAGAAATTACTCAGAAGTGTTAGATGAGCTGGTATTTCACCAGACTCTTTGATGAGTAGAGGAATATCAAGTAGTCAGTGTTTTTACAGAAAGCACTCCCAATGTTTCACTGCAATTTCATTAGCTGGCAACAGGAACTTAGACTAATACTAAGTTATCATGACTTTTCTGTATGTGGTTCTGCTGCACCTGCAGGTTATCCCATTCAAGTGTTTTAAGTACTGTTCACAGGTAACCTGCTTTTGAGTACACAGACTTGGTGTAACAATTGGGAAAAGCAGCAGCTTTGTGGCGTCTCTGCAGGTCAGCACTGCAAACAGAATTCAACCTTTACCAGCAATCTTCAGAGCATCCGACAGACTAGTTACTACGCCACGTAAAAATAACTTTGACTAGTACAACACAAATCCAACTCTGACTTAAAATAGAAAAGCAGTTTTATAGGTCCTTTTTAAAAACAGAAAGCTCTGTTGATGAAGCAAAAAAGCTTCTGTTGCTTCAGAAGCACTGAGGAAAAAAAAAAATCAGCGAACAAAGTGCATACCGAAATTTTTAGGGAAAAAGATTGAAGAAACAAAATAATGCGCTATATACAACACCTGCTTACCTCTTTTTGAGGTCAACGCAAACTGAATAGCGTTTCCTCCAACCCCACAGAACGCATCCACTATGATGTCGCAGTTGAATGACTGACTAACCCGGATGGCAATATGCTCAGCTATTTTCTCAGGAGTAACAGAAAACCAACCCTCTGCAACGGAAAAGGAAGAAGTGTATTTTTGCCTCTTATTTCAAGGTCACCCAAATGAAAAACAGACCACCAACCCCCACACACAACTGAAGGTTTAGCGTTAATCCCAACAATTTTGGCTTAGCACATTCGACCAGGAAATACAGGCTTTGAAGATGATAAACTCTGGTCAGTCCAGCCATTTGCTAAGCAAACAAAGTCTCGCTGAAGCAAACAGATATGCCTGAATCTCGGTAAATGCTTTGTTGAACTTGGTGCTGAGGATTCTGGCTTATCAAGGACAAGTCCACTGAAGCAGCTACAAAAAAATTTATACATCACGATTCTGCTCTGTAACAAATAAAACCAGAAATATATTCTCTCTTATCCGACATGTTATTTTCTTTACAGCAATGTCTGGTCTGCCAAATAATCTACGTGTTTATGTGGGAGAGCATTAGAAGTGAAAGGCTTACAAAACCAACAAACCCAAGATACAAAAGATTACTAATCTTAATTCCTTCTTTACCTATAAATTTATGGTTTGGAAGTGGTTTCCATGTAAACATGGAAAAAAGTAACTTTGAAAGTGACTGCTGAAAGTCAGAACAAAACAGAACAAAACTAGATCCATCAGCATATTTGAAAGTTTCACAAAATTATTTTATAAAATATAGAAACAGAAAAATGTCACTGAGTTTCTGAAAAAGTCCTGACCACGCATAATTTCAGTACAGTATGATCTTTGGCAAACATCAGGACTAATGCAAACAGGGGTGTCCCATGCTAGAAGCCCTACTGAAGCCCAAGACTTCTGTTCGCCTGCTTGCTGGGGGATGGAATTTATCCAGAGGTGCAAACGCACACTCGGCAATGCTCCTCTTGTAAGAAAAGCAGTAATAAACTGCAAGAAGGGCCACAGTTTTGGACACTTCTTGTACCACCAAGTCAGCACACTTTGTACTAAACACACCTCTGTCTAGTTTAATTCCCTCGTCAAACCGAGAGAACAGCCGGTAGCGTTGTGCCCAGTACTTGGCCAGCTCCGGATCAGCAGCAATCTCGGCAGGTATAGCTCCCAGCACAATTTTATTCCTTCTTCTCCTTTTTTTCTCCTTCTTCTTTGCGGTAATTTTTTCATCTACAGCTGGAAGACACTGCAAAAGTTAACAGTCACTGTTCTTGTAGGCTAGGAACGTAATCGGTAGGTAGGTGAGAGTTAAGATACAAGATGCTCATGTTTAACAACACTGCTAAATGTCCTTTATTACTGTTTGCCAGATTATGCAGATTAGTGGTTTAAGTTAAAAAAGAGCATCCTATATTTCAAGGGAATAGTGTTACCTGACAGGTATCAGTCACAGTCCTAAAAATCCTAACAGTTCACCCATTATTTAAGAGCCTTAACAGGCTAGCCATCATCTTCAACTGATGGCAATAAACTCTACACAGTGAGCAAAACAAGTGGATCAGAGACCAATTTAATGCCCTTATATAAATAAGGAATAAGAACCAATCTAGACAAGAGTTTTACGGTAGAAATCTAACATAATTGAATTACTATAGGAAGGATTAAACTATATGTAGAAACCTGAATAATCTGGTTTTCCTTTGTTTACAGTGTTAAATAGAAAAGTTCATATTATAGATTTTTTTTTCCCCCTAGAAAATAATTTTAACACCACGTGCTCCCCAAAGCTCAGCAATGTGCGTCCAAGAACCCAAAACCTGACGGTCTGTGCATCTACAGAGGTTAATGACCCTCATCCTTACAGGGGAAAAAGGGTGTGAGTTGGAGACCTGTTAGATCACATCTAGGATCAACAATGACTGTTCATCTATAAAGAAATACTGCCAATATTAGAGACAAGACCCGGGATTCTGGTGCTCCAGGAATAAGCTACTTCCACTAGCACAGCTCTCCATCAGCCTCATCACCCCTTGGACCTAACGAGTCTTTTTGAATAAACAGAATAAATAAATACCACACAATGCTGTAATTTGGGAAGGCAGTATTAAGTCCACTGCCAATTCATTTCCAGTTTGTAGGAAACTGATGTACCTTGGCTGACGTCCTCTGTCTCTGCCCGGAGATAATCGGGAATATCCAGAGAGACTAGCTGCCGCCCGCAGCCACGCTCCTGCCTCCCCACACCCTGCCCATCGGAGCTGCTCGCTGCCGCGTCCTGCGCTTCCTCCTCAAGGTGATTCCCTCCAGGTTCTGTGACGGCCGCACTGGAAGACGGTGGCTTTTGGTTTTCGGCGTTCAGTGTCGCAGTCTGTGCGGCAGCAATGCTTTCCTGATCCTCCGAGTCGCTGCTCACGGACAATGCCTCCGCTTTACCCTGAGGGGAGGCTGTCTGGGATGCGGCTTCCTCCCCAGGTTTATTAACCCGCTTTAGGAACTCTTCCACCTGCAATTGTCAAATATCACGGACGATTAGATGGTGCTGTTAACCAGCTACCAAGAGCACAGTTTAAAAGCCTTACAGTTCAAAAGCACCTGCCATGCATGCACTCTCTACCACATGTATTTTCAAAAAAGTAAAATATCCAGAGTCAAAACATTCAGGAAGTCCTTAACCGTGCTCTCTTTTTACAACATTTGGAAACAAGTTGTCTTTGGGAACTAGATACCAGCTACTTGCAAAAGAGAAACTCCACAAAATCGACTGATAAATACAGTAAATAATTCTCAAGTAATATCTGAAATATAGTCAGACTTGCCACAGCACAGCTGACCAACACTACTACTTTTTAATTAACTGTCTTTTCTCCGATCTGCATTTGGAGCAGCTGGACTCTGCTTTCAGATTAGCATAAACAGGTAAAATTACCTTCAGACATTAGTTGCCTCATCTCCAAGATGTACCAAACGGTGCATGTGCTAAAGGGTTCTGCTGCACAGTAGAGAGCTCAACATTGCATCCTAACCAACGTGCAGACGCCAGTCCAAACTCCTCAAAGGCACACACAGACGCTCACTTCTACGTTACAGTTGCTCTGAGTGGCACTAGGCCTGGGGCAGCTCCTTACCAGAAAGTCTGAGGAAACTTAGAACTTTTTTTTTTCTTCACATAATTAAAAGTTGCCCTCAAACTGTACTGGCCTCAGGTACAAGATGGCAATGGTCAAGCCTTTGACCAAAAATTATAGCAATGGGCCTGAGGTTCAACACAGTATGTGCTGTCACCACCAGAAAACAGTGTTACGCACTTGGGTGTTAGGGAATGCCAAGCATCCCAGAAGGCGGCAAAGTAACATTGAAAATCTGAGAAAACAGATTTTAAAGAGACTTAACTAAAGAAATCTACAGTGAACAAGTTTTTCTACTAATTACTGATTTCTGAGTTTAAAAAAAAATTAAAGCATAAAGTTAGAGGTGAAAATAAACGCAGGTAGAGGTGTAAGCAAAAATGTTGATACAAATTACTAAGAACATGGAGCTACATGAAATACACTAACCTATACAAACGTTTATCTCTCACTGCTGAAATGCCAGCACTAAAAAATGCCCTCACATGCATTTTAAAATCAGAGATACTTTTAATAACTATAGAAACCTACACACACCTCTAAAGGAGTGATGCACCCAGATGTTAGGAATGACTTTCACATAACTTCACCATTAAGCTCACATTCCTCTTGACAGATTGCCAAGAGTCCACCAATGCCTTTCCCTATCCACCCTAACCTAACTACTCTTCGCCTAAGCAGGGAAGGGAAGAAAGGTAAAGAGAAAAAAGAAAAAAGAAAAAAAAAAGAGAAGGAAGAATAAAAAGCAGTGGACTGACACTTAAAAAATGCCACCTACTCTGGGCAATTATTTTTTTTTTCATTTTCATAATTCAACACCTAAGGGAGCAGATAAATCTATGAATCACAGCAACACTAAAAATTAAACCTACCTTCTTCAAAGTTTTTTTTTTTTTGCAAGACATTTCAGATCCCTCTGTAAAGAAGATGTGTGTGTTTTTGCTCTTCCTTGGTTTACGCATATCCAAGAATTTGGACTTGAGTTTTGCTTTTTTCTCCAAGTACTGCACACTTCGGTGGGTGAAATCTGGAATTCCACCATACCTGAAGTTAAAAAAAAAAAAAAAAGGACTTGGTTAATTTCCAATCTGGAAGCTTTAACATGAATGTTGATGTCTACAGAAAATGATTTAGACTAAATTATTCCTTTATGAGATGTTCGCTCCACTCTTAAAATATATGTCACTGGATGTAGCTACAAAATAACGTACCTTCATGAAAACTTTTAAATATTTTTATTTGAAAACTTTTACCCAAATTGGTTTTAGATTTTTTTTCTTTTCCTAATAGGTGTATAACTTTAGGTGGAAACAATTACCCAGACCAGCCTGAAGAATAGGAAATGAAAAAATATCTTGATTAGTACAATGAAACATCTTTTGGTGGCTGAAAAGAACCTCCAAAACAGCTACTTTTGTCTCCTGGCAAACACAATTTAAAAAAAAAAAAAAAAAAAAGGGAAATATGGGCAATTCACTTCAATTTTTATAAAGTAGAACAGAGATTGTCAACTACAAAACACACTCCTCTTTGAAACATACATATATACACACACACTAAACAACTTGCATCCTGCAGAAGCACTAGACCTAAGCTACAGTCCACCTGTGCCCTGTGATATTACTTCTACAGCACTGACCACCGTAACTTTACGTCATACCACCAAAAATGAAATTTCACTGGTCCAACACCCTGGCAACACTTCATTAGTATAGCAACATTTTACTAGTGTAAAGCAGCCTCATTCCAATATGAAACAGCTATAAATTATGATCTAAGCTCACAGGACTCCAAACTGTGAGGACCATTCATTGTCAGAGCCTTCAAGCTCTCATTTAAGTAGCTAACCAGCCATTTAACGTTTACACAACTGCAAGTACCTTACGAGTTACACTTCTGTTTCAAAGCTTTTCTTTTAATTAAGGAACAACTTTTCTTGTTCTTTAATTAGTCTCTGTAACTTTGCATCTCTCTCTAGCCAAAGGATGACAGTTTTATTAAGAGCAGAGACTAACTTTGGGAATCATCTTCAAAAGTTTAACAAAATGGGAATGGAGATGAATGGTCTAGAGAGAGCTGACTTGCTATGAAGAAACCCTGAGTTCCTCATAAGCAATTACTTTTGTCCTGTGCCACACTTGAAACCCAAAACAGAGCAGGTTTCCTCAGGATCTTCCACTGGGTTCTCATCCACATCCAGTTCATGGCTAGGAAAAAACGCAGACAACAAAGTTACTTGCTGTAAAACACACTCTTATTTTACAGATATACCACTAAGAAACTCACATAATGAAAACATTTAAATGTGGGCTTCAGTAAGTTCTTCCACACACTGCTGAAACCAAGCAAGGCAGGTAACATCAGCCTATTCATATACATGAGCACATACTTTCCCCCCACGCCCCTCCAATTCTAGGGATGTATGTCCTTCTATTGGGGTTATAATATTCCGAATGACCTCTTAAAATATTTAATATCAAGCCCTACATGGAATCAATGAAGATAGTGTTTGTCCACCCTGTTTCCAAATTACCTTCATCATCTATTACGTTATCTATATTACTATCTATTATTAATGCTATGGCAACAGCAAAATATTAGAACAAAACCAAAGCTACGTGATTAGCCTATAACAATTCCATCCATCCCTTAACCTTCGAGTTTGTAAATCTGTTAGAGAGGAAGAGCCATCTCATCATCTTTGAGGCTACAAATTTTTAGAGAAGAAAGAAAAAGACCGTGACAAGGCAGAGATTAGCTATTTTATGATTGCCATAGCATGGAGCACTTTACTGGCAGCATACAATTCAGTTAAACAATACAAATTATTTACTATCATTTTTGTATCATCTACACTAATTAGACCTAGATAAGCAAGTTGTCCTATCCAATTTAACAACCTTGTACACTGCAGTGGCACAAGAATAGTACCATCACCCCGCACGGTCATCGAGGCCATACACTGTTTTCATAAAGCAACGAAGAGAAGAAATATCCACTGCTTGCTGCCAGGTAAAGTGACAAGCTGTGATGGAAGACTATGTGGTTTTGTACTGAAGTTTTAACTCTCAATCTCAATCAAACAAATAGTTACTATAAATCAGGAGGCTTCTGGACCTGGGCTTCTTGACAAAAAAGCTCGTCTAAATTTCATGACTTGCCTTCTCTTGACTTTGGCATGTCTGTATTCAGGAGGCTCTTCATCCTCATCTTCATCTCGGTCACGAAGCAGCAACTGTTCTTTGCCATTTGAATTCGAGCTACATGACCCCTGCGAACCTAAGAAAGACAGATGAGATCATATTTTCCTTCTGCATAAATGAATTCCTTATCTTCCTGTCCCCAAAGTACATCTGCAGCTACAGTTAGGTTGTCGTACATACCTGAATCTGACAAATAAGGCACAAGTGCCAAACACACATACCTTCACCTGTCTTTGTTTGAGGGACAACATACCAATGCAAGCTTCCAGTCTTAGTTACACTGTAGAGTTAATAATCTTAAGCAGGACCAACGTCAAATTATCTCAGCTCTCCAAGAAAAATAAAATGCCTACAAGGTACAAATTCAAAACAGTTTCTTCCTTGTGTGTAAATTTTGTTTCCATTTCATTAGCTATGCAAAGATATTCACATACATTTAATAAGAGAGGATTCCAACGCTCCTCTCATTTCTTGTTGGAAGGGAGATTTTCCTTTCACCTCTCCCATTCCAACTGTACTGTAGGATCAAGATGGGACCACACCCGCTTCTTCCTTCCTTAGAAAGTCACTAGTGGCGGACTCTAGAGGTTTCCCACCAAACTGAAGTCCTGGGCTGCTGAAACTTAACTCACATGCTTCATCCCTCCTCTTTAGCAGGAGAAACCATACACCAGTCAGGAAAGACGTTACACTGCTGCTTACAGTGAATGCTGGCAGGAAGAACTGGCAGGCAAACAAGATGGCCCCCTCCTTTCTCTGCATGCTGAACTGGCTGGCAAAAATGTCTCCAGCCCAGTCTTGTACCTCCCTCACAGAAGCTCTTCCAGTAGCGTAAGGCACAGCCACTGGCTTTCATCATACTACTACACCACCTGGCACTTTCACTTGTTAGCACTAGCTGTGAACATGTGAATCTGGGGTTGTAGAGATGACTGCAGCTCACTGCCTAATTGATTGCTTAACGCTGGAAGGGACCTCTGGAAGACATCTGGTCCACAGTAACACAGTACAACAAAACAAGAGTTTATTCTCAAGTATGGCATTTTTAGACAGAAGGCAAACCCCTCCCCCAACCCCAGAACTGCAGAACTATTTTTTTTCCTCAGAAAGCTGTTATTAAAATTTGTCAGATTCATGAGAACATCAACCCGAGTTTTCATTCATTTTAGACTATCAGTGAGAAAAGACACATCAGCTGAATGACACAGCTGCAATACCAAGATAAAAAAAATAAATACGCACTAACAGTGCTCTCTCACCACTTTCTGTAGTACATTTGAAGATTTATGAAGTACATGTTCTGTTAAAATCACGTCTGGCTGAAGAACACATTCAATATACAGGTTAGAGAGGAGAGAGATCGTCCAGATAAGCAGAGGGAAGAAAAAGGAATCAAGTATGCAATCATCCCACAAAATACTTGATCAACTTTTTAAAAATGGCATAATACAGACATGCCCTTGTTTCTTATATATAACTGCCTAGAGAAATTCTGGTAGAATCAATTTTAGCGCATTTTGTATTACCTGACTGGTTAATACTTTTATTTTCACAAGATGCACTCCTTTTCCTGGTTCCTCCATCACAGGGTTCCTTCTGGCTTTCACTGTCAGATGAACTACGCTCTTGAGGACCTTGACAGGCTACTGCCAGAGCTGCACTGCTCTGCTGCGCTTCCTCCAAATTCAGATTTAAGTTACAAATCCCAGTGATTATTTCACTGTGGGGCTCAGCACTCGAAGGGAGCGTTTCCTCACTTCTGGTGTTAGAGGAAGACAGCTCCAAGTTCAGCACTTCGCTCTGTTCAGCCCCTGGGCTAACCAAGTCCATTTTTCCTGACAGACCCGTCTCCTGGGTAACCCCATTAGCTTCCACGTTGTCACCATGTGAGCTCTCAGTAGTCCATCCTTGACTTGTCCAATACTGAAACTGTTCCCAGTAATACCAGTACAGTTCGCTATAATGCTGCTCCCACTCTTCCCTGGTGTCCGGACTATTCCAAGGCTCAGAAGCTGTGGTGGCCTCAGACGATGAGACCTCTTGATGCTTCTCCTGCCAACTTTGCCAAAGAAGGCCCTCTCCGTACTCACTCCAGTACTTCTCCCATCTTTCTTTAAGTTCGCTGGGTAAAGCCTCATTTGCAAGACTTCCTGAACTTTCACAGTTCCCTTCACTTACAACCTGAGGTTTGCTGCTCTTCTCACGTTGCTCTGTAGCAAGGGCCAGCTCACCAGAAATGGACTGGATATGACCACCACAAGCTCGATCCTGGCGTTCCTGCCTCATTTTATCCTCATGTTTTTGCTGTAACTCTTTTTTCTTCTTCTTTTTCTTTTTCATAATCTTCATGTTACTTCTCTTTCTATAATTTTCTGTTGCCTAAAATATAATGGAAAAACATACTTAGAAGTCCACAATGTATATGCAGTCTTTTCTTGTCCTCTCTCCAAGCACGTTTCTGTTTCTGCTGTAACCCTCCCTCTCACTGCAACCCTGCTGCTAGCTTTCTCCCCACAAAAGGTTGTAGGGTTTATGGGTCTCATAGGGCCCCACTGCACAACCTTGGCTGACGTTTCTGAGGAAGTTGTGAGAAAGAGCTGTGAGAAAGTATGTAGAAAGACGCACACACAAAAAAAGGCAGAATTACAGACAGAAGTGGGGCTGCTGAGAGGGAAGTCATCAGTAGCTCAAGGATTCAGAAGGAAAGACATCAACATGAAACACTGTAAAATCCTAAAGGGAGGTTGGTCAGGAATTGAGGCGTCACTGGGCTGAGCTCAACAGTAAAACGGTATCTCAGTAACATCAAGGACCTGTTTTAGAGGGCTGTGGAAGCTGACTCTTACTGTCAGCTGGTATCTGCCTGGCCAGCAAACACTGTTCAGGTGTCTAATTATGGTAGCGAACATATAATGCTCAGCCTAACAGAATGTTAAATCCTTGCTATCTTTGGGCGCTTTAAACAAAAAAGCATCGCTTTATACTCGTGAGCTCTGTAAATCCTGCAGCTGAATCTCTATATGTCTGAACACACTGACCCAAAAGAGGGGTGTAATATTCTTCCCATCCCATACTGATCTCCAAGTTGGCTAACAGAAACACAAGGAAACAGCCTCCTCTCCAAACAGGTGGCCCTTTCATTTGTGCAATACAACCATTTCACTTGTTACAACAAACTCATACTACTACAGTTGTCTAGTGGAACAGATGACAGAAAAACCTGTTACTGAAAGGAAACATTAAGGTAACTTGCTGGTTTCATCAAATACAACTCCACTTGTTTCAGTGGGGCTTCCTGTGCTTACAGATATAAACAAGAGAAAAACATCCAAGAAAAGCAAGTTTTTCCATCAGATAAATCTGCCAATTTTTTTCATAAACTGCCAAATTAAGTTTGGCAGGTAAAAAGGCGGTGGTGATGAGGGACTACAACTCACATGGGCAAAAGACTGCAAACGTACAGATATTACTCCAGACCTCCCATCAGCTGCAATCCCTAGTTTTGTTGCCTTGACAAATGCATCAGGTGGACTATAAAGAAGTTAGGTTCGGAGAACTGGCATTATTCTTTCATCCTCGTATCTCATAATGTCGTGTTAATACACACAGTGCAAAGCACAATGCTTAGTAGTAATCTAGTAAAAACATACATTATTTTTTCATTCAACTTATTTGCGGTATTACTACATAGCAACAAAAATTGCATGTATGCTTTGGGCTTGAAGTTGGACGCCTGTAAGGTCTATTTAGATGCCATCAATTAAAATCACATACAAGTTTATCCTATTTATTTACAAATGAATCAGGTCAGAACCATGGAGTGCTCTGCACAGAAGTACTCTCTCACTGCCAGGGAGGTCTATATTCCATAAAGTGGACAATGTGGACATCCCACTGTCTTTTTCTCATCTGTGAACAACTTTAGTCTTCCTCTAAAGCCCAAGTGCTCCCTATGGGAAGCAGAGCACCCAAGCCTCACTCCTGCCCTTTGGAACAGCCTGGCTTTATCAGCTGCAAGGGGGATCTGAGAACTAGCTTTTTGTATTAGTATCTAAGTGGTTAAAGCAGACAGTATGAACACACGTGCTCAGATTGGAGTGTGCTAGTTGTCCTGATGCAGAGCACCAACATTACACAGAACAAATAAAGCAAATAAAGATTTACCACAAAGTCCCTGTGGGCTGACTGCCCACCAAACTGAAGAGGCAATCCCATACTCTTCATAAGCTCGGCCTCCGAGTCTAGTTCAACTTCCTCCAGGTCGAGAGCATGATTAGTATCCACCTTTAATGTCACATTGGGACAACGGTTCTCCTCCTCAGACGCTTGTTCCTCCCCTATAAACAAGTTATATTAAGTGAATATAACCTGGCACTGATACCTCAATGCAACAGCATGGCCTACAAAAACGAGCAGAACTGCCTCTTAAGCTTCCTTTCCCATTTAAAATTTTCATCATAAGCATCTTACTGTCCGCATAACTACCAGTAGGAACCAAAATCTAACTTCGACAGCCAAAACATTGCACTGGGTCTGGCTGGGATGGAGTTAACTTTCCTCATATCAGCCTGTATTGAGCTGTGTTTTGGATTCGTGGCCAAAACAGTGTGGACAACATACCGATGTTTTGGCTATTGCTGAGCAGTGCTTGCACAGCACCAAGGCTTTCTCTTTTCCCCACTCTGCCCTCCCCAGTGAGTAGGCTGGGGTGGGCAAGAGATCGGGAGGGGACACAGCTAGGACTGCTGACCCAAACTGGCTGAAGGGATAATCAATACCCTATAATGTGACGCTCAGCAATAAAAACTGGGGTAGAGGGTGTGGGTGCTTGGGGTGAACCCACCACAAACATTCACCTCAATAACTTGCAGAGCAAACTACAGTAACACCCAGCAAACAACAGAAAAATTAGTATTAGGAAAAGAAAATTCTTTACAGGAGTTCTTTTGGCATGTATCAGAGCAAGCATAAAATACAAGAAACTGGTTTTGTTACAAATCTTTCAAAAGCAAGCTAACAAAGATAATACAATTTTACAAAAATGTAATGTGTGAACTACAGAACATCATCATCTCGGAAATAACTGATCGACTATTGAAACACTGCGTGCACATCTATCAAATTTTTAAGCAACATCGTATGTATATAAAATGACAAATACCACTGAGAAAGTAGGAACTGTATACTGATGAAACTTATGAAACACAAAAGCTCTTGACTCAGTTGATAAAACTCAAAAATTTAAGATTTTTTTTTTTGATCAGGATATATTTACCGCCAAATATATATATATATTTACACAGCACAAGACTCTTCTTTTCTTAACTGATTACTCTCACCACAATTCAGTCATATATGCACAAAAACATGGTTTACATTCTCCTTCATTCCATTCACACTGCCTCCATCTAACCTGTGCTATTCATTCTCAGCTTCTATAGTCATTCCTTTCTGTTCAGATTCTTTCCTTTCAAATCAAGCTATTATATGATGCTGGAGCTAGCAATACACCAACGGAAAAATCAGATACCAAAGGAATTATGTTCAGACAGGCATGTGTGGGGAATTTGGGAGGATGGAGCAAGGGACTGGTGTTGAATTTGCCAGAGCATGCACTATGATTATTCCTAAAATACAAGCAAGCAGGGAGAGACTTACCTCTCCAGCCCTCCTCATATGACTCCTCATGTACATGCAAATCATAATTTCCCCCATTAGGGCTATTGTTGCTTTTCTACTTCTGGCCCAGCAGATTAATCAGCAACAGCTAATGTCGTAGGCTGGGGTAGAGTCAGCAGGACAGTATTACTCCCAAGCAAACATCTAGGATTTGCAGACCCTCTGTGATACAATTAATTTTGAGCTAGGAAAGTTGAAATTATGATTTGAGAGCAGGTCAGGCACTTGTAAGCTAATCTGCTCTGTGTACCAGGTGGAGATTATGTGAGCTGGTAAATCTGTGCAAACGATAATAAGCATCGCACCTGGTTTGACACAAACTTCCACGTCAAGATTATAGCAATTTGAAAGTTATGCAAGTGCTAAGTTATTATTCACATCCATCCCCGTAACAAAAGTGCTGAAAAAAAAGCCAGAAGTAAGAATAAAACTATGGGTTAGCAGTTACACAGTCTTACTGTACCTTAAATAACCACACACAACTCACTTTAACTGCACATCATATTACACAGTACATTTTATTACCTTACCTGTACTATCATTGTCATCTTTGACATAAAATCCTTTTAATCCCAGTTTATATAATTTTCGATCTCTGTAAAAATGAAAAGAGACATGGATGCAGAAGGTCATCATTAAAACAAGTTTTTTTACAGTAAAAAATATCATTCAGTGGGACAATCTCCCCAGGAACACGGTAGAGTCCCCATCGCTGGAGGTTTCAAGATGCGATTGGATAGGGTGCTAGATAACCTCATCTAGGCTCCCTTTCCCACAAAATGCTGGCCCAGGTGATCTTTCGAGGTCCCTTCCCACCTGGGCTGCTCTGTGATTCTAAACACACGAAGGAAAGAAAAATATGAAAAATGCAGCACTTTAAAGCCTGATGTGAAAAGCTTACATGAAAGATATTCAGAAAACGTTGCTGCCACACAGAATACCCGGGAATTAAATTTTTGGGGCACAAAACATTCTGCTTAAGTGGGTGGCATTTAGTGTCTTCGGTCCAAAACTGCAAATATTTCAGCCACCACCCAACGCTGAAGGCACCTCATCTCTGCAAGTGCCTCTGCTAAACACCGAGTGTGTTGAACGTCAAAAGCTCCGGCAACGGCCACGACCTCTCCTCCCAAATCACGCATCTGCGAGAGACAGCCCGCGAGCAGCATCTCTCTTTCCTCTCCTCGCTGACAAACCTGCTCCTCCTCTCTGGCTCGGGGAAGCTCCAGGTCCCTCCGCGCCCGTTTGGGGAAGGGAGAGGGGGACGGGGGGCGCCCGCCGGAGCCCCGGCCGCGGAAGGGAGG